TATGTCTATTTTAACAAGAGATGCTCTCAGGAAGAGCTTTTTGTTCTTGCATCTCAAGTACATCAATGCTTATATGTGCAAGATCCATATGATCAAGATAGACATTATGTTATGAAGACTGTTCCGAGAGACTTGTTTAACATGAGTGATGAATTTGAATATGATCTCCCACAAAGTTATGAAAATGAGTTGTCTGAACACTTGATGGGACCATCCATACCAGAAGATAATGGTGAAGTTACCTTAGTAAGGACTGATGTACCAGAAACTGTTATTGATGTGCCTTCGGAGGAATTTGGTACTCAACAACTTGAGGTTGAGTATGAAAAATAGTTTGAAGATGAGTCTGAAGAAGAGTTTGAAGATGAGTCTGAAGAAGAGTTTGAAGATGAGTCTGAAGAAGAGTTTGAAGATGAGTCTGAAGAAGAGTTTGAAGATGAGTCTGAAGAAGAGTTTGAAGATGAGTCTGAAGAAGAGTTTGAAGATGAGTCTGAAGAAGAGTTTGAAGATGAGTCTGAAGAAGAGTTTGAAGATGAGTCTGAAGAAGAGTTTGAAGATGAGTCTGAAGAAGAGTGTGAAAACAGGTCTAAAAATGAGTGTGAAGACAATTTTGAAGATGAGTCGGAAGATGAGTCTGAATATGAGTTTGAAGATGACACACCATGAGTTTCATTATTTTTGTGATGACCATATAGTGCTAACTCACTCTTTTTGTTATTTAACTGTTTTTGTACAAACACCTTAAGATATCTAAGTATTCTGTTGGCTTCGTTTATGCGCCTGATTGTTGTTTGGTCAATAATTTATGTTAGCTTCTTTAATTTATGTAATTATTGTTTTGTTGATGAGCATGTAATTCTAGCTTACTATTATTTTATTTGACTGTTTGTTGGCATAAACTTGTATGACTAAGGTTAGTAATATCTGGAGTATTCATGTTACAATTATCAAATTGCTTTCTAATCAGTAAATGTGAATTGTTGTTGTTATCTAAATACTTATTTACATAGTGAAATCAGTCCTCTGTGTGTAGTACTCCCTTAT